TTGCAGAGAGCCGAAGCTCCGCCGTCTCCATGCGCCGTCTCCATGCGCCTCCTTACAGCAACACCCAAAGACAACACAGCACAGGAGCCCTGGGCGGCGCTTGCACGTTGGGTGGAGCTGAGTTGGTCTCTTACCGCTTATGCTGTATTGGGAATGCCTTTGTTTCTAAATAGGAGTCAGTGACTACCAGGAGAGCTTGAAGGGCCATTTCATACGCGTAAACGTTTGCAGCAGGTGCTTTTCAAATCCGCCATCAAGTCGCAGCCTTTGTGGTGGCCGACTGTGGCTTGTCTTCAAATAATGAACAAGCCCAAACAGAAGGAAAATACAATCTATAACAGTGTCTATTTTTACGCCCCTCGAGAACTCCTTATGTCCCCAACTTTGCCTGCCTTATCTCTGCAACCCCTAAAAAAAAAAAAAAAAAACACGTCAAAGATATGTTTTCCTTGGGCTTTTTTTTTCCAGAGGAGGAATCACTTAATCTGATAAATGTGTGATAAAGTCCTACTTACTAGCTTTTTATTTTCTGAATAATCTGTCAGATGAATGGATTTAATTTGTAATCCCTTCCTCCAACTTATCCGCGCCATGGTGATTTGTCCTTTCCTGCTGTCATCCCACCTCCTACCACACCCACGAACTGCCCCTGCCTACTCCACTCCTACCCACATCTGTGGGTCCAGTGCAAGTCCCTGCCCCCACACCGGCATGCTGCTGTAATTATATTCAGATTACATGTGGCCACGAATCGTGTCATATTCCAAGCTGTCTTTTCCGGGATTTTCCTCAGATTGTTATTTCAATATTCTTTAAATTTTTTTTCCCTCTTTTCAGTATTTTATTGTTAACTTCAGACATTATTTGTGCCTTATCAAGCGATGCTGAATCCAAATTTGCCCAAGAACCCCATGATCTCTGTGCTTTCCTTTGTGTCTGACACTTACTCATCCTTTCAGATGTTAATTTGCGAGCACGGAAACAGTAGTGATTGACGAATAGCCAGAAGAAGGAAAAACGTATGTACATAATTGAATTTAATGCCTAATATTTCAGAATCTGCGCGATTGCGCATAGAGCATCCCATGTCCTCGTGATAGCCCTGTGGAGCAGATGGAGAGAGGTGGTATGTCATGAGAAGCCTTTAATTAATGAATTCGCCTTAACAGTGTCTTGAGCCAGCATGCGAAAACAAAAATGATATTAAGTGGAATAATACAAAATGTAATTGCAGTGTGTCAAACAAACTCTTAGAGCAGATTCATAAAAATGCCCGAGAAGCATACTCATTCAAACATGAAACACAGTGGTTCGATTTATGGCTTCTTTAACCAAATCAGCAACCTGGAAAAGGTACCTCTTAAATTTGGAGACTGAGAGCCCCACAGAGAGGAAGACAGCCTGACCTCCATGGTTAATAAATTCCATAAGTAGAGAGCAAACATTAAAAATGCCCCGTAGCTCAATGTCTTCAGCCAAAAAGAACTAATCCAATTGAGTGAGACCAAAGAAAACGACTGGGGATGTATGGCTCCCGAATGTCTCTGAGGTATTCAAACCCTAGTCAATTTAAGGACTTGTAAGTTAATAACTAGGACTTTACACATAATCCTGTACTTTACAGGTAGCCAGTGAAGGTTTTATAAAACCAGGGTAATGTGATTTTCATGCTTGGTGTCAGTCAAAATGTCAGTGACTCAGTTCCAGGCCATGAGAAGTTCCTTCAACAAATTAGGAGAGTCCCCTGCAATGGCGACCGGCAGGAGCCACACTGGTCCCAGGAACCCGGTGACACCCAACACACTCCTGGAGAGGGGACAGCCGAGGATGGCAGCTCCTGAGAGGGCCCACTCCCAGGGGCTTTTCAAGGTGTACCTGGTAAATAATTAAAGGGGAAGCCTGAAAGATATGGCGGGATGGAAGATGAAGTGCAAATTCCTAATAGAAATCAGAGCAGCCGGCAGCCTTCAAAGCTGCGGTTCTGGGCAATTTGCGGATTTGCAGGAATGGTGAGAACCCAGAAGCAAGACGAGTTTCTTGTTAGCGTGATTCATCATCAGCTTTTAATAGTCAGGCAGAGAATATCCGGAGGTGAGACGGCTACAGAGGGAATTTCAGTTTCAAAGGCATGAGGATGACTACTCTTCTGTCGCTACATATCGTTGGGAGGATATTTTAAATGCGCTGATTGGATTCCTTTTTAAGAGCAATAATCCTAGAGTCACGTTGGGTGAGGAGGTGTTTTCATTTTCTGGTGGAAACATTGTGATAGCAGATGATAGTATCTTCAGACGTGATATTGAGAAAAGTCAAATGGGAAAGGCATATGAACCGTGCCGTGAGTCCCTAATACGTCTCAGCCACAGCAGTAGTACTTAACAGACGTTATTTTACCCGCAGTTTAATATTGCAAGGTACGTGGTATTGGCTCCAATACAAACTAAGAAAAGGGCTGATCAGAGTAATAAGTTTTTCTAGCTCTTGACCCCCTCAAATGTGTCCACAACTTCATTGCTTCCTTGCATCTCCTGAGATGCAGTGCAAGAAAGGTGGGCCTTAGCTCATTTTGCTGAGTCAGAATCTGCCTCAGCTAGCATCTGGAACATTCTGGAAGGTCCCTTGTCTGTGCCATTTGAGTGAGTACCGATAGAGAGCCTGGAGAAGAAGGCAGACCATGGATGTGGCCAAGCCCACAAATGAGCTGGAAGCTAAAGAATGCCCAGCTGGAAATGCATTCCCAGAGGACACAAACTGACTGAGCCACTGCCTGGTGTTAACACAGAGGCAAAGGAGACGCCTCTGCAGCCAGCCTCACTTTGTGATCTTAATTCCTCAGTTTACCGATTTATGACTAAGGGGTACAAATGCAATTGGCATGCATAATGGAGTTGACATGGAGTGTTCGACCGATGCCAGCTTTCATTACTTCCTTATTTTGTATTATTCCCCGCAGCGTGGCATAAGATAGCTGTGGCCCCTGACCCTCCAGCAAGGAATTTAGCTTTTAAGCAGGAAAAGATAGAAATAGGGGCAATTGTAATTGGGGCGATAATAGTACTGCGTGAGAAGAACAGGGAACTTTGAAAATAGATGAGAAAGAGGAACTTGACCCACAAGTTGGATTAGGAGAGCCTTGCCAGCACAGAGAGAAGCACCGAGTCCCCAGCGGGTATTATGGGCTCCGGGAACTGAGAGGTACCCAGAGCATTGAGGCCTGGGAGGGGGAGTCTGGCGCCACAGCAGAGAGAGTAAACTCAACAGCCTCCCCATCACCCAGGAACACGGAGCTAGGAGAAAAGAGCCTCCTACACAGCAGGACTGAAGAATGGAACTGAAGGAAGCAGTGGGCTCTGCCCGGCTGTGCTCAGGGGAGATGCACAGCTAAGGAAGCCCAGGACTGGCGTGGCTGAGACCGGAGGAGGCTCTGGCTGCAGGAAGAGCTCCTTCCACAAAGCCGAGACACAGAATGGTAGTCAGGAAAACTCACTGGCCGGCACAGGGCAGCCAGGGAGGTAGAGGAACAGAGACTCACTTCCTACTTCACAGATTATCATTCTAGAAGTGAGTGGAGGACAGCAAAGATGGTACGGGTGTGCAGAAGAGATTTACCGTCCAGGTAAGACCTTCTTCTTTTTTTAAAAGATTTATTTTTATTGGAAAATCAGATATACAGAGAGGAGGAGAGACAGAGAGGAAGATCCTCTGTCTGTTGATTCACTCCCCAAGCAGCCACAATGGCCAGAGCTGCTTCAGAAGCCAGGATCCCGGATCCTCTTCTGGGTCTCCCACATGGGTGCAGGGTCCCAGGGCTTTGGGCCGTCCTCGACTGCTTTCCCAGGCCACAAGCAGGGAGCTGGATGGGAAGCAGGGCAGCTGGGATTGGAACCGGCACCCATATGGGATCCTGAAGTATTCAAAGTGAGGGCCTTAGCCACTAGGTTACCACACCAGGTCCCAGGTAAGACTTTCTGTGGCTTTGACTAAGGCAGCAAGAGTGGTGCCCTTCTGCAAGGGAAGTGTCACAACTGCAGGTCCAAAATTGTCACCCTAAGTGAATAAGGGAGCTTAGTAAGAAGTTTATGGAGTGTTTGTGTAAAATGAGATGAATCAAGGGCAAGGATGAAGACTCCAGAGACTGGAACCACACCGGCCCTAAAATGCTATCAGAATTCAAGGAGTCCAGGCAGGAAAATGCAGTCAGGAGCAGAATCCAACCTTGCACTTCCCCAGGGAGAAGGATTCTGGCTACTCGCACAGGGGGAAAGAGAATGGCAGAGAAAGAGCCCTGGACGAGGTAGGAGGTAGCTTTTGGCTCATGTATGGGGTTGCAACTGGCAAGAAAACTTGGGAAGGAGCCAAGGATCCCACCAGAAGGACTTGGGGAGTGAATCATCGGACAGAAGATCTTCCTCTCTGTCTCTCCTCCTCTCTATGTCTGACTTTGTAATGAAAATAAAAATTCTTTTAAAAAAATATTCCAGCCACCAAGGGAAAAACCTATGAAGAAGAGTTTCAATCACACATAGGCTCCAACTTTGAGAAGCAGTAAATAGTGTAATTTCAGGGCTGGCATTTTGGTGCCATGGGTTAAGCTGTGGCCTGCTGTGCTGGCATCCCCTATGGGCACTGGTATGGGTTCAAGTCTACGGCTGTTCCACTTCCAGTCCGTTTCTCTGCTGATGTGCCTGGAGAAGCAGCATAAGGCAGCCCAAGTACCTGGGCCACTGGCACCCATGTGAGAAACTCAGAAGAAGCTCCTGGCTTCTGGCTTCAGTCTGGCTCAGCACCAGCTGCTGTGGCCATTTGGAGAATGAACCAGTGGAATGGAATGTATTGCTCTGCCTCTCCCTCCTTCTCTTCCTCTCCTCTCTGTAACGCTGCCTTTCGAATAAATGAATAAATCTTATTTAAAGTTGCAATTTCTGACTTCCTCCCACTTCCATCAGTTTAAATGAGTAGCCGATGGACGTCAACTTCTCACTCAATTTAGAATCTTATGAGGTTTATAATTGTTTTAATTTGGAACTCACAACTACAGCAACGTTGAGCTTGAAGTGATGCCTTTTCTGCAACGATGCCTTAAAATCCTCTTACATTACTTCTTCAGTGTCTCCTTGTTGCAATTAGAATGACAAGATGATCTCACTGAAGTCAATTTCAGTGGTATTACCATCCATCCATCCATCCAATGAATACATATTGAGCACCTACTGTGGGCTTGGAGTAGGCGCTGGAGCTGCAACAGTAAACGTAGCTGTTCACTTGGTATGCTCACTGCTTTCCAAGTGCTGCAGTCTCATGAGGTTTAATACAATCATCACATCTAGTCACTTTCCAAAGTGTTTGCTATTAACATGTAAAGTCTGGAGCAATTTTGTACTGCTATATGCCAGTAGGCCAAGAAAGCTCCCCTCGGCACATCTGTGGTGGTTCTGCTTACAGAGCAACACGACAAGTGCATCAGAAACCTGTGCTGTATTTTTAGGACTGTTTTCTTGCAACTTCAATCTATGCCTCCCTGTAGTGAAAAGCCCCAAGAGTCTGAAGGGATGGCAATCCAGCACATAAATATGCAAAACTCTCATCGAATTAATTGACTTGCTTTGTGTCTTATTTTTTTTTCTTGGCTTGTTAGAATATAAAAATCTATCAAGTTCTCTAGAACTGTTGCTTAGGTCTCTTGGGGGAGAATGTGAGAATGGAGGGGCACAGCTCTGCAACAGCTGTCTTTGTGTCTCTAGATGGTCCTGCTGGGTCTCTCCTGGCTGCTGATTTGTCAGCTTAGTGTCAGCTGCAGCCGCAGTGGGCAAGTATGGCTCCTCTTCTAGCCTCAGATATGCAACAAGAGCACTGAAGGCCAGTGGGCAGGAACTGAGTACTGTTCCTGCAGTCCCACTGACCCTGACTCCAGCCTCATTCCCTTCCTGTCAGGGCCATGCATTCCTGCTCCATCAGTAGCCACACAGCTGAGGACGTCTCTGTACCTAGCTATGCCTTGGCACAAAGCAGGAGGAACTTCAGATTTTGCACTTAGGGAGATAAACAATACAATCATATATTAGTGCTAACTATCACTGACTTCATCTAGTGAGAAGGCAGAAAAATGCATTCTGGGCGTCTTACCTTTCTGTCCGTTTCTTCCATCTGCACTGAGTATACCATAGCTGAACCACAGTCTGCAAGGAAGGGAGATTGTCTGGAGAAGGGTTGGCATTCTCACGCATCTAGTGCCCAGGAGCCAGTTCCAACCAGCAATTTCGTTGGTGATACTAGCATCCATCTGGTAGAATGATGAGGCCACATTCCTGAGTATGCATGGATAATGAGGGGGCTTCCACGGGAAGGGGATGGGTGGAGACAATGCAGTCCAAGACCCCTGAAGCCACAAGCATCAGACCTTAAACAAATCAGGTACTATAAGAATTAACAGCGACAGTAATAAAACAGTTATAACAATATGCTGCTATAAACCTTATGTTCTTTCTTGAAGGAGTCAGGGCAATGTTAATGTTTTCCAACCTCAGTGACTCAAATTGTGGCAGGCAAAACCACAGCTGAAGGGGGGACTGTTGTACCTCTTTTCTGCGTGGAGCTGCACCATCAGCATTGTCTTTGCAGGGTTGACTTCTCGCAACCTTTGTTGTCATTTTCCATGCAGCATTCAGCACTGCCATTGTTCCGGAGCTAACCCTGGATATGCTCTCCTCTCTCTCACAGCACCGATGCCTGGACCAGCTTCCGGTTCTGTCTTCCTTGGGTTGCTGTACTCATTCACCCCTTGGGTCCACTCTTCACACCTGTCTGCCCCACTAGGTGCTCTGGCATAAAGATTCTTTTTCTCTATGATTTTCTTGGTTCAAAAATGACAAGTGAATGTTCTTTGTCGTTCCATTTAGTTCTTGGGTGCCTAAGAATGTGTGGACCGTGGAATCAGAAGGATCTGAGTTGAATGCCATCTTACCAGGAACTTATTTGCAAGTTCTCTCAGCTTTAGGCTTTCAGTTTTGACTTTTTATTTTTATTGTGGTAATATATACACAACAAAGAAGTTGCCAATTGAACTCCCTGTGTGCACGTGTAAGTTACATAGCTAACTTAAGGATGGTTTGGGTTTTGAATTAGTTGGGGAGAAGTTTATGCCTGAAAGTTAATTTTTCTTTCCTCTTTCTCTATACCATTTTTAATGTTTTATTGTGATGGAAAGTACATGACATAAATTTGCCATTTTAATCATTTTTAACTTACTTTGAGTGTTGTGCAACCATCATCATTTTTTTTTCCCAGAATTTGTCATTAGTTTGAGTAGAAAAGCTGTTCTCATTATGCATTGGCATGTTCCTCTGCCAGCCCTCGCTAGCCTCTCATCTACTTTCGCTCTCTATGAATTGGCCCGTTTTATTCTTGATGTATGTAAAATTCTACAAAAGTTGTATTTCACTTTTGTATTAAGCACAATGTTTTCAAGATTAATTTCTGTTCAACTTTGTATCAGAATTTGTATGCCTGAATAACACTGCATTGTATGTATATATATAGAAGACTGCATTTTGTCTCTCCATTCGTCTGTGGATGAGTGAGCCTCTCGTTTCCCATCCTTTGGCTTTCGTAGATGATGGAGCAGTGAATACTGATGTGCAAGCACCTGGCTGAATTTCTCTCCTAAGTTCTTTTGCATGAATCCTCAAGACTGGAATGGTTGACTCTTACAGTGCTACTGAATTGTATTTTCCCTAAAACTCACATGTGGCAGTACTGGGAGACCAAGATGACCCTCCTAAAGGTATCAGTGCCTTTCTTAAAAAAGAAACATGCTTTTTCAATGCGTTGTGTTTTTGTTGTTGTTTATGTTTGTCATCCACTTTGGATTAGTCAGTTGGGTCATCGTGCTAGGCCCTCTTACAGATTTTTCGTGTGTAGAATCATAGCACCTGTTTAAAAGCAATTCTTCCTTTTCCAGTTTGGAGTCTTCTGTTTTTCTTTTCTAGTAGATTGTTGAGTAACAGAGGTAAAAGTGGCTATTGTTGTCTTGTTCCCGACAGAGAATTTACTTCTGTAGTGGAAAAATTGGTTAGGCCAACTATGGTGGGCATTTGGAGAGTGAATCAGCAGATGTAAACATTGGGAAATTTATCAGCGCCAATGCTGTGGCACAGTAGGCAAAGCCATGTCTGTGGCACCAGCAGCCCATGTGGACATTATACTGGAACCCCCATATAATCACTCCCAATCCAGCTTCCTGCTAACAACCTCGGGAAAAAATATGGAAGATGGCCCAGGTCCTTGGACCCCTGTCACCCATGTGGGAGATGTGGAAGTTCCTGACCATTAGATTCAGCTTGCTTCATTTCTGGTTGGTGTAACCATTTGGGTACTGAACCAGTGAATGGAGGCTCATTCTCTCTCTCTCTCATATATGTGTGTGTGTGCGTATATGTATATATCATATAAATATATATTTATTATATATTATATTCATTAGATAATATATACGACATATTTAAATATATCAATGTTTATATTTAAATGTCTAAATTAAATTAGATTTAAAATATTTGGATATGTTGAATATATAACATAAAATATATGAATATACAATATAAATAGATAACATGGATATTTATTGAATATTTATTGAATATTATAATATATATAACTCTGCTTTTCAAATGACCAAACATATCAATACATAGCATTCATTCATTTCAGCATTTTGCAGATTCTTATCTTCCAATTACATTTTATCAATGTTCCATTGTTTTTTTTAACCCTTGAGGCCTGTGTTTAGTGAAATAGACCTGTACTCTCACGTGGTCTCAGAAGCCAAAGGCTGAAATCACTGCTTCAGGAAACTGCATTCCTGAGCCGCCAGCCCAGCTGAAGCTCGTATTTTATCACCAACAGAGTTCGGAAGGAATATGATCTGTACTCCACACACTCTTTCCTCCTATCCTTGCCTTCCAACTGTCACAGGAGCTGCACATGCGCTGTGGGTTGAGGTAGTTGCTGTGTTCCATCTGACTCAGCAGCACCAACCATGCAGCTCATATGCACCTATCATATTGTGCGTACTTTTTCAGAGACACTTCTTGAGTGTTTCATACTTAAAAGAAACTGCCAGAAGTCCAGAGGCTGTTAATAAAAGATCAGAATTCTGTAAGATATCTTCAGTTCTCTATTTCCTTTTATTAAAGCCTGTAAAAGGAGCTCCCCGGAACCCCTAGTGTCCAAAGATAAGAGGGACAAAGCGGTGGGCGCCTGGGCTGGTCCCAGATGAGCACATTTCCTTCAGACTCGTGTTCAGATGATAAATGAGGAGACCATTTGGGCTCAAACAAACAACAAAGAAATATGACAACAGATTATAAAGTATGTTGGGGTTTGCTGCGTGTGTCCACTTTGACCTTCCATGCATGAATAAAGGAAAACGTATATTATCTCTGACATCTCAAGATACGAGTTCTGAGGAAACTTCCTGTGCTGGACTTCCTGCTTTCAGTAGCCAGACAGGGTGTGGTTTTCTGAAAATAACGAAGGCCAGCCGCGTCCAATCCAACCTCTTTCTCCTGATAGACAATGTGTATATCCAGATTCCAATTAAGCCATTTGGTTTTGCCAGAGATGCTGTTCCGTGCCTTCCCAGCGAGCTATCGGTGGTGATATTTTTGGAGTTTGGTCTTACTCAATTGCATTTACACATTTGGAGCAGGAAAGAGGATATTTTAAACACATTTAAGCAGAGCTTGAGTTTGGGGTCAGAAATGTGCAAACATCTGGCATCCCAGATGGGAGCAATAACAACGCCACTCTTATTTTCATAAGTGCATTATAGAAAATGCTCAGTGCTTTCTTCCTCGGTGAGTTTAATTCACACCAATATTTTAAAGAAGATTAGAAAAAGAGCAAAAAGGAATGAGAGAGAAGATTTCTGGCAGTACAGAGAGTCAGCTTTTCATGTTCCCATTGCACAAAAAAGCCTGAGATAATTACACTGTGCAACAGATATTTTGGATGTATTTTTGTGAATCAAATCAACTGTATTACTTGCTATGCCAAAGCTCAACATGCAATACAAAAATGCTGTATTTTTAGTCCAGATTTAGGTTTTATGTCTTTCCTCTAAAACAATTGTTTTTGGTAAAACCTGCTGAATCAAGCCTGGTAGTAGAGTTGCTTTTTTTGTTGTTGTTGAAGGCTACTACCCAGCCTCACTCAAAATACTAACCTTGAGCATTGCCCTACCTAGTGCATCACCAGCACTTCTCATCAGCTGCTCTTAGACTAAGAGTCTTCAGTTATCCCTGCTTCTCTGAGATGATATTCAACAGTGTTGTCCAGATTTGCTGCAGCTGTTTGGTCACCAACGGGTAGTGAACCAATCAGGGACTGGCAGAAAGACTTTCAGCTCCTGAAGGGGAGAGGTCCCAACGGCATAACACAGAAGCACAAATCCAGATTTTGACAAAGCCTGGGGTCACTGGTATGACAGCCTCCATTGGTAGCGTTGAACCCGAGGACAGTCATATTTGATTCTTTCCCAGAAGTTTTGCACCATTGAGGAATGGACCATTCAAGACACGTGTACGAGGCCAAGGGTTTGTGTGTTTTTTGTTGCCTCACAGATCCTAAGTGGTGATTAGGAAAGCATGCTTGACTCAGAGCAGAACCTGATAGAATGGATGAATGAAACACAAGGCTTCTTCATCAAGATCCAAAGCCAGTGAGGCATGGACTTGCCTTCACCACCAGGGCTGGCAGCAGCAGTTAGTGCAAAGGAGTACCCAACTACAAGGCTTTTTGGTTTTGGCTTTTTGGTTTCTTTATCTGAGAGACAGAGAACCTCCACCCACTGAATCATATTCCAAAGTCCTCCAGTCACTAGAACAAGACAGAATCAATCCAGATCTTCCCCCATGGCTGTGGCAACCCACTTACAGGAGCCGTCATCATTGCCTCGCAGGGTCTGCCTTGATAGCCTGCATCAGCAGCAGAGCTGGGAGTAGAACTCAGCATCTTCGAAGCAGGATGCAGGCATCTTACGAGGCTAAATGCTGAAACTGGGGTTCTGTCGGGTGCCAGGGAAACACCAGTTTGTAGAGGCTGGAGTGGAAGGCTTGTCTGACACTGTGGTGGAGAAGGAGACCACAGTCTAGGAATCATGGGAGTTCTAGAGCCTTGCCCTGCCAGTATTAGAGGTTGGGATCTCAAGTCCTACTGGATGTTGGGAGCAATTCCTGAGTACCAGCAACCCTAACTGGTGGTCAAACATTCCTGGAGCTCAGATGTAGAGGCCTCAGTTTTCTGATGCTTCGTAGCATGCTAATAGTAAGAAAAGTACCCCTTTGCCCTACGGGTCTATAAACAACCGTCACAGACAAATCCCGGGGCTACCTCATGACATCTTAAAGTTTGGAACTTATCACAAGACAAACTCCTGAATGCAGACTCACAATTCCCTGTGGTTTATTCAGAACAAAACCCATCAGGCAGCCACGACCACAGCTGTAACTGAGAACCTCATCGCTTACGTTTGTCATCCCACTCCCATCCCCAGCCGGATTGTAAGTCATTCCACCTGTGATGATCACTCAGCTGCTGGTCAGTGCGAAAGGCCAGGGGAAGTGAAGCGCAGTCTATGGCTATTCCTCAAGGCCTCCTTCTCACCCTCTTCTCCCCTCCCTAGATGTACCTGGATACTTGGGACTCAATTGATTACAGTGTCTGATCTTTCACCTCCAGCAGCATGGAAAACTGATTGCAGCTTTCCCAGCTTGGTGCGCTCCAAGAATGCTAGCCGCCTCAACATTGGGTTGCATCCCATCCTGGACATCCCAGGCCAAGTGCTCAGGACACTCAGCCCAACCAGCTACCCCAGGGATCCATGTAAACACTGTCACACCCAGGCCTTACCACAGGGGTCCCTCCAGCCATAGCAATGAGAGCTTCCAAGAGGAAGCCCAAAGCTTCTAGGAGCTGTGGTCAGGTGTAGCAGGACATGGCAAGTCTAGAGGCGGTGTCAACCCAGCATTTGCTCATTGCCTACCATACGCGCATTTAAGATGTTAAGAGCTGTGCTTCTGAAGTAGGAAAAGAATTCATTCCAAGTTGGGAAATTTGCAATCATTCAGTTTCACTTTCAAGTAATTTAATACAGTTGCTTTCCTTCCAGTAAGTTGTAAGAGGGTGAATATGAATTTGATGGGGAAAGGGAAGAAGTAAAATAGGTAATACAGCTGAGGGGGCTTTAGAGGAGAGGTTAGAGATGCCAGGAGAACACCTGAGCCCAGGGTTCAGAGGCGCCAGGAGGTAGAGGGAGGCATAAAGAACAAAGCTCCTTTCTGTTGTTGCTCTTGGAATTCTTTGCCTTCCTCTCCTCGCTTCATTTCCTGCACCTCACATCAGAGCCTTGGATGCTGATGATCGTTGCTATTTGTAAATAGACTTTGATGCTTTTAGTTTTAAATTTTGAGCTAGATCACATTCCAATGGTTCAACGTTCCAAAGTCCTCTAGGATGCCAACCGGGGCCTGAACAGCCACTGACAACACTTTCTTCTCTAGGGAAATGGTGACCGCAGAGTCGCATAAGCACCAAGCAGACCCCTCAGCTGCAGATTTCCTGTTAAGCGGCACAGAGAGATGGTGAGGGGTGAAAAATGAAAAATGCCTCTATGTGCCAGACTCAAGTTTTCTGCGAGGTTCTTTTCTTCCAAAAGTACCCTCAAGATTCATTTTTCAGCCGTCATTTTGGAGCTAAGGGTAGACTAGAAATGAAAAACAGAAACACTTTATATCACCAAAATTCCCCGTCTGTCCATTGATTAGGGGCCTCCATGCAGGAGTTCTGAAATCATCCTCAGAATGCCTTTCTCTCTGACTCACAGCTGTGCAAAACAACAGCATCCTAGACAGAAGTCCACTCATGCCAGGCTCATTCCTGAGAAAGAAGGAGCCACATGGATGCATTTCAGTGCATGTCACACTTCGGGAAGAGCCTGCGGTATCTGCAGGACAAAAGGAAGCAGGTGTGTGTGTCTGATGCTTCTTTCCACACACACCAGGAACGGGGCTGGGTGCAAGCATGCCTGGGTGTAGAGCATCTCTCTCTGGAGATGTTTCAGTAAGCTGCCACCCTTCATCTGCAGGGCTGTGGGTGAGGCCTGTGAGTGGGCTGTCCTAAACAGCTAGGACACACCCTGAAGAAGCTCACCCCTGGCAGGAAGTCAGACAGTCATAAAGAGGAAGGAAGGCAAGTCCCACTTGGGATCACTTCTTCCTTTCTTGACCAGAACTAACTGAAAAAGACTAAATTTTAGCTGCAAAATAAAAACATTATCTGTAGCAGAGACAGAAAGTTGGGCACATGTTTTGCTACCCCAAACCACTTTTAAATTTATTGTAGGTAAGACTGCTCAATTTCACAAAACAAGACAATGTGTATGTGATGGAATAATTACAACATTCCCAGTTCAATCCAAATTTCAGATCATATTATACTCCTTATTTTGCTCCAGAACACTTCAAAATATATTTGTACTTGGTAGCTTTTTCCTGAAGCTGTTTGCTAAAATAAATTAGACAACATTTCGACATATTATCAATTTATTAATTTGCCCAACACATAGCACTAACTAGGTGTGAAACAGTCTCTCCTACATGCTTTTGCAGATTGCAACTTATCTAACAGGCAGCTGAATCGTGAATATACAAAAATCACGGACTACAGCTGCTGCTTAGAATTTTAAACCTTCATTTTTTAGTAAAATGATATCCAGAACTTTTTAGGAGCTCTGTTTATTTATTTGAAAGATAGAATGACAAAGAGAGAATGAGAGACAGAGGGAGATGGATTTTCTATTTGCTGGTTCACTCCCCCAACGCCTACCACAGCCAGGGCTAAGTCAGTCTGAAACCAGGAACCCCAAACTCCATGTGGTTCTCCCACAAAGGTTGCAGGAGGCCGGGGGCTTGAGCCACCACCTGGTGCCTCTCAGGCACATCAGCAGGAAGCTGGGTTAGAAGCACATGTGGGAATCCAGCCACACTCTACAAAATAAGATGTGGGTGTACCAACAACCCTGTGTGCCACAACACCTGTCTCTCTCTAGAATTTTCTTCATAGAGCCAACACAATTTGAGTTTGGTTTGCTGTCAGAATGAAGTTATGTATATATATATATTTTTTCTTTGATCATGAAAGTAAAAAATGAGGGAAAATACAGAAAACTACAAAGAACACGATAAAATCAGCTTTCGCAGCTGTAACTTCTATTAGCATTTTTCATTTGATGCATATGCTGAATAGCTGTGAAAGAACAGGCTGCAATTTCTGCTTGCTTTGAATGCAACCACAGGGCCATGTTCTCCACCCATCACCCTCTCTTCCTGTAACCATGATCTCAAACTATTTCCTCTTTCGTTTTCATTTGTTCTGTCTCTTGCTTCCACAATCAGTTCACGTTTTGTCCCCAGTGCCGATGCTCAACAAACAGTTCTCTTAAGTGCATTCATCCTCTGACTTCGTGCTAGGGTCGCTGTGGTCTGTTCAGCGTGACATCTTACCACACCACGTCTCCGGCATCAGCACCGTCTCTGTACCCCAAATCTCTTAGACGCCATATTGAAAGAGTTTGTAATTTTAGCTAACATTTCATGGCTACCACATTCTAAAAACGTCTCTACAGATTTTAGCTGTAATACTGTTTCAAAATAGCAGGGAGGTCGTGTTCATTTTGGAAGCGAATGGGTAAAACCTTTTCCCCCATGAGAAGATCATGGGCAGAAACTTGACATTGCAAATTTTCAGCGAGAACACCTTGAACAAGGTCAGTGAAAACAAAATCATCTCCCTACGCCAAAAATGTGGTTATTCCCTTGAAACACTCCTTTGCCAGCACACTATTATTATGTATTAGAAATTAGGTACGCTGAAGGAATGCAGAGTACTAAGGGAAAACCACAATTAGGAGTTTGGGTTTAGCAATTACTGGTGTCATGACCCTAGGGTATACTGAAACACAAAGAAGGGGGCCTGATTGGGCTCAGGGAATTTCTTTTTCAGGGAAAGAAATCACATATCTTTGCATATATTATCACAGCACATCCAAAGAAGCACATAATAAAGACACTTACTGTTCCCATACTACAAGATTGAAAACTAACAGCTTAGGATTTGTTAGGTATCTATTGCTTGCTCAGTTCTGTGCTAAGTAAAGCATGCCAAAAAAAAAATAAAAAATAAAAAAAAAAAGCATCTGGTTTACAGGAGTTTGGGAGGCCAAAGGAAAATTATTTCAAGCAATTAAAAAAAGAAAAGAGCAGAGAGCTCGGAGGATGAAGCGACTGCTTGGAAAGCCCGCATCTCATATCAGAGCACCAGTTCAAGTCCCAGCAGCTTCACTTCCGATCCAGCTTCCTGTTTGTGTGCCTGGGAAGTAAGTGAACGATGGTCCAAGTCCTTGGGCCCCTGCCACCCACATGGGAGACCTGGGACTCCTGGATTCCTAGCTCTTGGCTTTACGCTGGTCCAGCCCTGGCTGTTGTGGGCATTTTGGGAGTGATGCCCATGAAAGGAAACTCAATTTCTTCTCTCTCTCTCTCTCTCTCTCTCTCTCTCTCTCTTTTACTCTCTGATGTGTGTGTGTGTGATTCACTTGCTTTTGCTCATCCTTTCAAGTAGATGAAAATGAATAAATAAGATTTAAGAAAAGAGGAAAGCAGTAAAAACCACCATGACAATGATGGTTGTCTGCTCCATGGCTTGGTAAACTAAATGCCTGTTATGGCCAGATACTATTTAGAGTACTCTGCATATTCTCATTTAACCCTCACAGCGACTATAGGAAGCCGATCTTGTTAGATTCCCCACCGAGGCAGGAGCTGCATAGCAGAAAATCCGGCGGGTCAGGGGGGACAGCAGGGTTCAAGAGAGCCTAGAAGTAGAGAATGACACAAGCCAGTGAGGAAACTGGCCTGGAAATCACAGCAGCAGTCCAGAAAGACCCAAAGGGAAGGGCCTGGGGCCCTGGCCTCCCAGTGCACAGACACAGCAGCCAGAAACTCCACAAAGGTTTGACTTGGGAAACTCCCGACAGCTCTCCACAATCACTGAGAGCCTCAGAGAGCTTCATCTACCCACACTCACCAAGTAGAAATGAAAATATGTTGGGACATTAAAATGTTTACATTAAAATACAAAATGCCAGTGATAGATGCATTTTTACATACTAACATGAATAGCATTTTTATGAAAAATAACCTCCAAAGGAAAAAAAATGAAGGATGATATTGTTTTACAGATTTGCAAACCTCTTTCACATTTAGCTTAATGGAAGGAGCTACTTTTAAAAAAGATTGACTGGGAAGGCAGAGTTATACAGAGAGAAAGAGAGATCTTCATCCACTGGTTCACTCCTCGAAAGAACAAAATAGCCAAGTCTCAACTAGACTAAAACCAGAATCCAGGAACTCAGTCCTGGTTCCTCACTGGGTTGGGAGGGTCCAAGCACATTATCAGGAAGCTGGAGCAATGGGGAATCCAAAGGCACTCCAAGATGGGATGTGTCACAGGCAGCAGCTTATCCTACTATCCCACAGTGCCAGCCCCTAGAGATCTCGCCTGAACACACTTCGACACATTGTTTCCTTTGAAGTATATGAATGAAGCCTTCTACGCAGAGTATGCTGAGAAAGGGGAACTATTTTAGCAGCCTTTTTAGATTGAAATCTGAAAAATTATTGTTTCTTTCTGCTCTATTAAGATATTATCTATATGCAAAATAGTTTTCAGTGCACAAAATGAAAAAAAAAAAATTTTAGTACTGGCCTTAAAATGTGCAACAGCTTTCTTGTCTTAAAGACACCTTTGGAGGTAGGCAGTTGGGGATGCCCCCTTTGGATACCCACCTCCTCTGTCAGAGTACCTGCGTTCAAGCTCAGCTACTCCACGTCCAGTCTCGCTCCCTGCTAATGTGCATCCCGGGAGGCGACTGTAAGGTCTGTGACCTTGGGACACTGCCACCCACATGGGCTACCCAGATGGAGTTGCTGGCTCCTGGCTCCAGCCTGGCCCAGCCCTGGCACTTGTAGATGTTTAGGGAATGAACCAGTGGACAGAGGAGGTCTTACTATCTCTCCATCTTTCAAATAAAATGAAAAGAAGTAATATCAAAGCGCTGAGGGGAAAAAGTCTTTGCTCTGAGCAGCCAACACTCGCTCTCTGTCACTGTCCTTTTGCCCTTTCTATAATTTCATTTAGTATACTTAGAGATTTTTCTTCCTTTTTATTGCCAAGTAATATTCCACCGGGTGGCTATTCTGCAGTGCATTTAAGCACTTGCCCGCTCGTGGGTTTTAGGGCTGTTTCTGTATCTTGACTATAAGCAATAATGTCCCTCTCCACCTTCTGACGCAGATTTTAAAGTGAAGATTATTTTCACCTCTTCTAGGGAAACAGCTGTGAGGATGGTTGCTGGATCATACTGTAAATGCATGTTTCATTTTCTAAGTTATTGGTACTGCTTTCCAATGACCTCATCCTAGCACGCCAGTCTTTAAAGCACGAGAACTCCCGCGGCTCCATCCGCGGCGTCGGTTACTTCCTCCGGAAGGTATGTAGTGGTTTCCCACTGTAGCTTTAATTGGTACATCATGCATGACTAGTAATGTCAAACATGTCTTCGTGTGCTTAGTGGCTGTCTTTGGTGACATGTCTGTTTTATTCTTTTTTTTTTTTTTAAAGATTTATTTATTTTCACTGAAAGGACAGATTTATACAGAGAAGGAGAGAAAAAGAGAAAGATTTTCCACCTGCTGATTCACTTCCCAAGAGGACGCAACAGCCAGAACTGAGCTGATCTGAAGCCAGGAGCCAGGAGCTTCTTCCAGGTCTCCCACATAAGTGCAAGGCCACAAGACCTTGAGCCATCCTCTTCTGCTTTCCCCAGGCCACAAACAGAGAGCTGGAAGGGAGGTGGAGCAGCCAGGTTTACGAACTGGCACCCATGTGGGATCCTGGTACTTGCAAGGCAAAGACTTTTGCCACTAGGCTACCACGCCAGGCCCATCTGTTTGACTCTTGAGTGCAGGCATTTGTCTAACTCACTAGACCACACACCAGTCTATCTGTTTGTTTCAATTGGGCTGTTTAACTTGAAAGTGTCACTTAGATATTCTGGACAGAAGTGATATGTTAGCTGTTTGTCTTGAAAACTTTCATAGTCCTTTTGTTTTCTTAATCTAATCATTATAGTTTATTTCTGCTTTGTTAAGGTGTTATCTATATGCAAAATAGTTTTCAATGCCCAGCATAATAAAAATTTACAAAACTTCCAAGTGTGTCCCCCACAGGAATAGCAGGAACCTCAGTATTTGTGCCTTTACAACTGTTCCCCAGGGTGCACATTAGCAGGAAACTGAGTAAGAAGTGGAGTCGGGGCTGAATCCTAGACACTCTGAGATGGGATTAAACTTCCAAGTGGTGACTAGCCTGCTTTTGTAAGCCCCTGAGCTGAGAGGGGTTTTCGCATTTTTGAAAGAGTGATGAAAAGAAAGCAATGAATATTCCACAGAGACCTGTGTGGTCCAGAAAGCCGACAGTTTACTAGACAGCCCTTCACAGACAAAGTTTGCCAACCTCCGCTCCTGCCATTTATTTTAACACTTAAACTTCCATTGCAATGTATTGTTTTCAAGAGTGAGTCTTGCACTTCTTTTATGAAACTGATGCCCGAGTATTCATTATGTGGAAAACAGTGTGGGCAGGAGACACCAATGTTTCTGACTTGTTTTTGTTTTTTAATGGAGTCTGATTGCATCATGAAAATGCTCACGTATTATTTTAGCAAGGCGGGAGGACAACACACAGAGCCTAGGAGCAGGGGAAATGGGGCTGGGGAGGAAGCGACTTGCAATATTTAAATCGAGAGGTGCTGGAGACAGGGGTTACGGTAGCGGGAGAAGAAAGGGGAGTGGATTCAAAAAAAAAAAAAGAAAGAAAAGAAGAGGAAAACATTTCAAAGGAATGAAAAGCAGGATTGGCAATGGATTGGATAAAGAGGATGAAAGAGGGGGAAGACTCAAAGACAACTTCAAGGTTCCCAGCCTGTGATGTGAAATGGCTCATCCATGGTGATTTTTCATTTGGTTTACTTTTATCATCTGGATGCACAAATGGGATTGTCCCACCTCTAGCAATTGTAGCTCCCTACATTCAGACTTGCCATTGAAATTGCCTTCTATCTCTTCACACCCTGTTAGTGAACAGGTAGGATTTTGATAGATGGGACGCGATCAGAGAAACCCTGGGTCTCCGTGGCGCACAGAACACAGCTCTGTTTTAATCCTTGTTTTAATTAATCATTGCTTCATATTTGAAATCTTTTCAGTTATGCAGAACATTCTTTTACAACCTTGTTTGTTCAGAAATCATTAACACCTTGAACACATCCATATTATTTCTGGCATTTAAATTTGTTTTCTTCCTTCCCCCCCCTCCCTTTTTCCATCCATTGGCTTCCTTTTGAAGTCACACTATTAAACCTCCTTAAAAATATTTATGTGTGTTTAGTTAACAAAAGCTCCTGTAAGTTGAATCCATGCTGGGAAAAGGTTCAGGTAAGCTCTCTATATAAGCTTACAGACAATTGTGTAAATCTTCAGCCATTAAAGAGAAAGGAGAAAAAAGCCACCCTCATTACACTGCTGTCATTTACTCTTCATCTCCTGTCCTCTTTAGCAGCATTAAGATGGGATGTAAATTTGCCAGTTAATGCTGTTAGAAAATGGATGGTTCAAGAAGGGCAGGAATTAGAGATCAGTATTAGGTGCCGATAAGCTCCTTTGCCTGGGCAGTGGCGCCTGTTTAACATTCATGGGAAAATCATCATCAAACAGCGTTATCACAGCTCTGTTGATGGCTGAGGAACTTCATCACTATGATAATTTTTTTTATAGCTGTGAGCCAAAAAGCTCCCTTTTCTTTCTGCTGTCTAGAGCTGTGATGGAAGCATGTTTGTATGGGCAGGATACAGCACACCCGGGCTCTGCAGCCGGGTTTCATTTCCCTTTCCCTCCCCCTGCGCTCTCTCCCCGCACGTGTTGCACTAAACAGTGTTACTGATAAAAAAAAAAAAAAATACATATATATAAATATATGTATATAAATGGAAGTTCTCCAACAATCCTTCAAAGCACAACAGATATTTTTATGATCAGTAATTCAAAGTTTGACAAGTGATGCCATTCTGTAATGAAACTGTCATCCATTTTATTGTGTGCAAAATGCCAACTTGATAAATGGAACAAGGAGCCGCCGAGTAGGGAGGGGGGCACGCCCAACACGGCAGAAATAAACGTCTGACTCTCAGGACCTGCAAAGCAAGCCATTCACCACCATCAAAGGATCCCAGCGAAGCGTATTTCTCATCTATCGGCTGAGTCGTCCCAGCTCCTTGCTGCTAATTATTCCTTTCTGAGCCAAGCAGAAGAAACTGGAGACTGGGTCTTCCATAGTCCTTTGGCTCTATGCTATTTTTATTTTTACAGTGTTTGGGGACAACACTGGATGTGTTATTCTAAACGAACCCAATTTGCTTGCGAACACATCGTCTTTGCTCATGATATTGCCTTGACATGTTTAGACATCTTCAAGTACAGTAGAGATAAAAGTAACAGTCATCGCTTACAGTGGGTTTGGGACAAAGACATGCAGTATCTCCCGCAGTCGATAAGGGAACTATTCAAAGGACATTTAAATGTATTAAGGTGCTGCAGCTGATGCCTCCTTGCAGCTTTGGCCTCATTTTGGGAGGCTTAGCTGCTCTGAGTGGCTTTCTACTGCCCAGCTAGAGAGTGGAGCGTTGAAAAAGCAGTTTTGTGGTCTGTACAGAAAGGTGCCATCGTTCAAAGAGTTGGGATTTGAATCCAGGATTGATTTAACTGCTTCAATAATTTATTCTTCACCCCAACTCATTGCCTTCCAAGCCCGCGACCACGGGCTGAATCATGCTTGGAGGTTGGAGATAAGGACTGTGTCTACGAGGCTCAGCTTTGACAACCAAACTCATTTCCCAGAAGAACGGAGTTTGAATCCAGTTAGGATCCTGGAGGTGAAAGGCTAGTGCCTTATCATTTAAGTATGGCTATTTAAACATAAGTTTAAAAGAGATACTGCGGGAGGGAGGGACAGCCCTGTTCTTGTCAGGGTAATCCTGGGAACAGCCATCTGCCTGCTCCCTGAAGGTCACATAGCCTCTCCATCCCCAAATAGCTTCAGTCACCCCTGACTTCTCAAGATCAAGAGCCAAGGATGTTTCCTTTTCCCAAGACTTCCTCTTCCGTGTGTATTAAAGAAAAAAAAAAATCTAAGGAGGAGTTTAATTTCCATGTGTTCACTCTTCCTTGAATCAAGGATAGGTTTAAGCCAATTCTGTGAGCTTCAGTTTGTTGGTAACCAAAAAGAAAATTCTCACGACTCTTCTACCAGGAAGCAACTGGAATGTTTGCTATTCAGTCTTCTCCCTGGACTTCCAAAGCATATGGGAGCTCCCCACCATGGCGACCATTACCCTTCTAATAGCTCCACCCAGTGACCTGCACGTCAGACCTCTCTCCATACTTTAGCTCGCCTCTAAGGGAAGTTTCAATCTCTCCTCTCTCTACTGATGGCAACTCCACTGTGCTCACCAGCATTTCTTGCATAATGCCTTCTCTCTCTTTTAAACTTATGTTTAAAAGCTTTGTGAGGGACAGCTGTATTCTCTTCCCTCCTTCCTTCCTTCCCTTTCTTTCTATCCATCCCTTCTCACTTTGTTTGTTTTTATTCTTCCTTCCTTTTCTTCCCGTCTTTCTTCTTTCTCTCTAGTGCCTGGAACATGGTTGGTGTTAAGGAAATGTTTGAGGAGTGAGTAATCCCTGCCAGGCAGAGACACTTGTGGCGTAAAGCTCAAAAGGCTAAATTGACTGGTGGCCAGAGAAATCCCAAGCTCAGTGGGAACATTCTAGGATGCCATATGTAACATCCATGCAACCAGGAGCCATGTGTCACGCGTGACCTCCAGGCAAGAAAAAGAAAGGAGTGCTCAAGAAGAAAGCCCACCAGGAAGTCCTGTCCCAGCGGGGACAAGGCCGTCAAGGGGTCAGGCTGCAAAGACTCTAGAGCAGCACTGCTGCCCGCACAGGAAGTAGGCTCGGCTGCATCTAGCAAGCACCGAAAGGTACGCATGAACACCATTCGTTTTATACTAACGACGGCAAGAACGGCTGAGTTCCCAAGAGCACAAGGCCACGAGCAGAATTTCCTTTGGCTCCTCTGACACACCATCAGCAATTTCCTAGCTCTTTTGTCCCTCGGAAATTCACCCATCTATCTCATAATCTTAAATTCGTTTTATTTTTTCTTGGAAACAGAGAAATTAATTAACCTTTTAGTAACTAGAATCCTTTACAGACATATCTTGTATTCAGAGTATGTAGGTTACGACTCAATTATTAATTAATGTAATTTTTTTTTACCCGATTGTGACTTTGGAGCTAAGGATGGTTAATCCGAGAAGTTCAGTTAACTCCCCCGACAGATCTCTGTGAACATGTACACGCACAGACACACACACAGCACACAATTTATACAAATCCCCTATTGTCAGGTTTCCTGTGGCTGTCAGGACATCCACTGGAAAGTATGAAGACAATGTTACCACATCTGAATTTATGCCAATTAAAAATCAAGAAGAATGAAGCCAGCACAGTGGCTCAGCTGGCTAGTCCTCTGCCTGCAAGTGCTGGGATCCCACATGGGTGCCAGTTCATGTCCCAGCTGCTCCACTTCCCATCCAGCTCCCTGCTTGGAAAAGCAGTGGAAGAGGGCCCAAAGTCTCAGGACCCTGTACCTATGTGGGAGACCCTAACGAGGCTCCTTACTTCAACTTGGCTCAGCTCCAGCTGTTGAAGTCTTTTGGGGAGTAAATCGATGGATAGGAGATCTTTCTATGGATCTGCTTTTCCAATGAAAATAAATAAGTCTAAACAAACAAGGAAACAGGAAGAATGAGCAAACTGCTTCCATTGATGCTTTATGATGAGATTCTCACCTGAATCTATTTATCAACCTTTTTAAATGATCAAAATCCCAAGATGCATTGAAATACAGAATTCCATTCTTCTCTCCCTGGGCCAGGGAAATGAGTGCATTTTACAGAACAGGCTGCAAAGGAGGAATGGTGGATTGAAACTGGTTTTGCAGAGCACGGTTCTGCTTTGCCCATTTTGATGCCTTTCTTGGGTATTCTATAGAAACAGGGTCAGCATTTGGGAATCATAGGAATTCATGGCCAGGGGCTCCATCACTGATTGTGAACCAACCACTTGCCCAGTTGATTACCAACCTAAAGCGTGTGAACAGATGAGCTTTGCAGGTCCATGACCTGATGGCCTAAGCATCAAGTATTTGCCACACATGTGTCTTCCTGACTGAAGAACCATGTGTCTGCGCTGCACCCACCATGGGCGACCTGACATAACATCCAAGTATCTGCCCTCCACCTACCACACCCATGGCTATGGTCTGAACGTGTCTCACAGAGTGATTGTCCCAGAAACTTGATCTCTGAGGCTGTAGTGTTGGGAAGGAGAGGGGTCAGGTCCTGAGAACGGCCAGCACGAAGAAAAGCATGCTGTGTTCAGGGCAACAGGTTCCTGAGGAAACAGTGCTTTCGCCTCCTTCCTCCTGCCCTCACTCTTTCCTCGCTCACCTTGTGCAATGCTGTGATGGACGATGCCACAAGGCCCTTGTTAGGTGCCGGCTCCTGCATCTTGAACTTGGCAACCTCCAGAACCATAGGAAACACATCTTTTCTCTTTACATATGGTCCAGTGTATGCTACAGCCACACAGAGCAGACCAAGACACAGGCATCTCTACCCTGCTGTTGAATGTTTAATCAAATCCTATGTTCTCAACAGAAGAGACGGGCTTGTCCTGGTCTACTTCTATGCTCTCCTAGCACGCACCTTTGAGCCGGCTGGCCAACCGATGGAGGTAACCGGAGGCCCAGGCTCAAGGCTCCGTAATAAGTCATCTGTTGACCCATTCAGGATGAGGCCCTAACGAAACAGCACTAAATCCATTGACCACAAACTCTGGGGCCCACAGAGTTGTGTCTCAAGGCCATTGCTACCTGCTCATGCCAAGAGCAGGGGTTTGCTCAAAATTCCACCCCTCACACAGCGCCTCATTACGCCTAGCCTAAGCAGCCTGGGAGAATCTCCCCAGCACCTCTAACAATTCACCAAGCAGATCTTCTACTTCCTTTGTTATGCTATGAATAATTCTGCAGCTTCTCCAGTTTTATTAAGAAGGCTTTCCTTTGCTTTCTCTTTGTTCTTCTCATCTAATCTCTTAATGGAAGTTGCTAATTAAATTCCTATAGCCATTTTTTTAACAGTGTTTTGAATAGCAAAAAGTCTGTCAACTGCAGAAAGTGTATATTCTTATCAACGCGCCGGTTGCCTGGAGGAGCGAAGGCCTCGCTGACAGATGGCTGCCAAGGAAGGAGCAAGGCCCAGCAGGCCTCACGGCTACAGCACCTGTCAGCAGGAGCGAGCAGAGGGCCAAGACTGCAAAGGAGGCTACATTTGGGTTGCATGAGTATCTCCGTGAATCTCAAGAGGAAGTTGGCAAATTTAAGCCAAGTACTCTGGGCAGGTGCTTGTTTTCAAGCATCCTCCGGTGTCGTCCCATTAGTAGTCCCTTTATATCTAGGTGATGTTAAATCTCTAAATGAAATTTTAAAAGCAGCTGAGTGCCCCACATGTATATCAACACATCTTTTTATGGGACACAAGTCATCAAATTGAATCCATTAAATTCACCTGTTGCTGTCTGAGAGCAGGTTGTGAAGCCTCCATGAACAAAGAAAAGTGGCCTTTTGTACTAAATTTGCATCACAGTTAAAGATACATACACAACGACTTCAAGAAATCCTTCATTTTCCCCACATAGGAATTCATCTGCACAATATCTTACTGCAAGTTGTGAGTGGTAAATTGTAGGATAATTTAGAAATACTAAAATCAGTACCAAGTCAGTTCCTTTAAGAGAACATTTATCCTTGAGCTAATGTCAGTAACTGCCTAACGCAAAATTCATTTGTCGTCTCAACAAATACTTTTCTTATTCATCGTGGTTTCCAAGCGCTGATGCTGAGCACAAGACCTAAACTAGACTGTTTCTCCCAGCCTGGCTCAAGGGAGCAGGCTGCACCTGCAGGTCTCCTGGCTCTCCAAGTTCTACAAATCGTTAGAAGTGGGATATGAGTGTGTGTGTGTGTGGGTGTGTATGTGTGACTGTGTGAGTGAGTGTATGAGTCTGTGTGTGGATGTGAATGTGTGTGTGTGTAAGTGTGGTTGTGAGTGAGTGGATGTGTGACTGTGTGAAGGCTGTGAGGGGGAAAGGGTGCCCTCATAATAGTATTGGAAAGTGTAAGATGCTCACAAGAGATTCAAGGAATTTCTAAAGGACGGAAGAGTTAAAGTCCTTCCTATGGAAAAACAAATCTAGACTCCAGCAGAAATGAAAGCTCTCAATAAGGAGGGGAAATTACCTGAGAATTCGTACAAAGATCAAGCAGCAAGGGCCCTGCAGAGACTGTCAGAGAAGTGCAAGTTTTAACTCAGCAAGTTTTTTTTTGTTTGTTTAAATTTGTGTGTTAGCATCTGTGAGTGTCTATGAATGGTCAAACAATATGATTGCTCATCTGTCATTGAGTCAACTACAATGTATTACATTGAACACTAAAAATTGACATGAAAAGATTATAAAGACATGATGTGAAAGGGAAAAAACAAGCTGTGGAAAAATAGAGTGAAGTAAAAGATTAAACGTCTAGATAGATATGGGCAGGTGATGGGTGGATGGAGGAAAGGATAGAGCTTACACACAAATAGTTTGAATGCAAGGATACAAGTCTAGAAGGAAACTTGCAAAGTAGTTATTAGCCTTTACTTTTTGAGCAGTGAGTGAGGGTATAAACAAGGTGAAGGGGACATTTGCTTTTACTATTGTGCTTATGTAATGCCTGAAATTTTCATGAAGGCTATGTCAGTGTGCCATGTATGTGGTTACAGACATGCAAGGCAAAAAAAAGGAACAAACAGGAGGAAGTAGACCTGTGCTCCGCCCAAGGAGTTTATGGGAAAGATCACAGCAGGTGGGAAACCTGTCGTTGACAATTCCGAGAATAGATGCATTGCCAGAAGAACACCAAAGTGGCTTAGCACTCCCAAAAGTGTGCATAGCCCATTCTACATCACAAATGGCTTTTCCAAAGCAGTGATGACAACACCAGGCCCTGAGCAGAAGGATAGGAAACCACAGAATGAGCAACAGGAGGGTGGTGAATCAAGCTGAGGTGCACTGTTGGAAGTGCGCATCTGGGCCCTACAGAGAGCCCAGAAGGGACCCGAAGGCCAAGGAAGGTGCTTGGAAGCTGGGTCCAGGCATCTCACTTCCTTCCAAGGCCTCTCCCTTGGGAAGGGGCTGTGTCAAGCTCCAAATCTGCTGATGGGAACTGGCAGGTGGAAGGTGGAGCAGCACCTCCAACTGATACACCCCTCACAGTTGCATTTCTCCAGCCTGACTCTGGGAGCTAAGAAAATGGCCAGATTGTATCGCGGGGATCACAATGGCTTCTCAAGGGGGTGGCTCACCAGTGAGAATTCATGGTCTGGTCTGTTGGCACCCTCATGGCATCCTCCTGCTTTTCTCCCCACCTGATCGGGTACACAGCCACTCTGCAAGTGGCCAACAACTGCCAATCCCTGCCCTGAAGATTCACCTCCGAATATCTCTCAACATTTCCCCATGAACCAGCCACCCCTCTAAGTAACCCTGTACTCAAGTGCATGGTCTTCCCACAATGCATTAAAGTGGGAGGAGGAGGAGAGTGACCAGCGGTGGCCTGCTTTCAGGTACTTCGTGTATCCGGTCTTGGCTAAATGCCCACTGGCATCGAGGAGAAGGGATGTAGAGCTCTGAGGTTGGCCCAGCCCTTTACCACTTGCAGGCAGCCACACAGATATTACATCATTTCTGAAAGTCACCCTACCCAAGTGCCACAAACAGGGAGGCTTCAAATAACAAAAATTTAGTTCTACAGTTCCAGACTCCAGAAATCAGCAACCTAGGCTTTGGGAGGACCCACTCCCATCCCAGCCTAAGGGAGAGCGCTTGGGCCTTCAGCTGCTCATGACTCTCGGAATCCTTGGCTTGTGGCTGCGACAATGCCATCTCGACTCTGCCAGCACTTTGCCTTCTTCTCTGTGCCTCTGTCACCTTCTGTCCTAAGTTCCCACCCCCCACCACCAGGTCATCCAAGTTGATTTTGCCTTGAGACACTTAGTCACATCTACAAAGAACCCTTTTATAACAATCACACTCCAGGTGCCTGGGGTTAGGATGTGGTTGTATCTTTTGGGGAACATTATTCAACCTTTTAGAGATACCGACCAAAGCTTGGTTCTCAAGTCTCTCCACCAGGCTCAGACCCATCGTAGGCTTCACACTTGGCTTGTGATTTCACTGGATGATGCATAGAGTAGAAGAAAACCAGCAGAAATAAAATAATAGGGCTTTAGAAATGAGGCTCTATACCCTGGCCATGTGGTTGAAAAACTAACCAGAGAGACTGGTGAGCCAGAGAATTGGGGCTCAACTACGTAATCCTCTGCCTGCACGTGCCAGGATCGCATATGGGCACTGCTGAATGTCCCAGCAGCTCCATTTCCCATCCAGCTCCCCGTTTGCTAACTGGGAAAGCAGTAGAAGATGACCCAAAGCCTGGGGCCCTGTATCCATGGGAGACCCAGAAGAAGCTTCTTGTTCCTGGTTTTGGAGTGGCTCAGTTTTGACTGTTGTAGCCATTTGGGGAGTGAACCAGTGAATGGAAGATCTGTCTTTTTTTTTTTTTTCTGTAAATCTGGTTTTCCACTTAGAAACAAACCAAAAAACACAAACAAAAACAGTAGTCAGAAATATCAGGTTGCTTGTTCAAGGTAACAACTGAGGGGTAGGATTGAGATCCAGGGGCTCTCTGCACAGCCCTCACTATGGGGCGGAAGATTCTAGACTCTTGGGTTTGGCCTCCATTTGAAGTTGACTACCAAGCAGATGGCAGTGACTTTGAAGAACATCTATCAAAAGTTTAGCATCTCTTGCCTTTTGCAACTCCTTATTCAAAGGCAGGGTCTTGGAAATTCCTCTCTGATTGAGCAAAACAGGCCCTTGGATTATTTAGACTGTTTAATACTTTCTTGCCAATAATTGAACCTGTCTCTCCATTGCAGAAAGTTTTGGTGTGCCATACTTTGCTTCCATTAGAGAGAGGGGAAAAAAAAAACTACCCCAAATGCTATGAAAAGAAAACATGAACTTGAAGATGTGTTATCAAGGCCTTTAGTTCAGTCTGGTAAACCAAGGAGTGGGACAGCACACTTCAAAGCCTGGACCGTGTTTTTCTTGGGATCTGAATAAGAATGGGGCTGTGTCAGGGTGCTAGAGGAGGGGCCTCTGGGCTGGTTTACAAGGTTTGGCTTGATAGGAGCCCTGGGTGCCTCTGAAGATCAGTTATGTAATGCCAACCACAAGCAGTTGTACAGTCACGCAGACAATAGAAGTTCCCAACTCATGAATATTGCAGATAGCCCCACTTGCTTCACCTTCGGTAGAATCCGATACCTTTGAATAGGTTGGGAGGTGTTCTGGGCTTTATCTCAGCCAGAGCCCAAAGGAGCAGTGAATGGGCGAGGGAGTCATTCAAAAAAAAAAAAAAAAATACTTTCATTTGGGCTCAGAAACACTGTCTTTGTTTTGGTCTGCTCAGAACATCATTTATTTGAAGTCTGGCTCCACTAGAGTTTTTATCTCCAGAGCAAGGAAAAATATGGTAATCCTAAACAAATAAGCCACCATAACAAGCTGTATTTCTTTTTTTTAGAAATTCAAGAGATTTGTGCATTTTGAACATGGGCAATGCCTATATGAAAGCCTAAACAAATGGATCTAAGCTATAGTCCGTCTCTCGCTTTGTTCTTTATGAAAATATTCACATCTCCCTGGCGAAATTAGCATATATTATCACAAATGCGTCATTCTCAAATTTCCTGAGTCGGGCTTATCACTTGCAGTTCTTTTTCCCCCTCGTGACTGTCTTTCTGAAAACAAAACAACATTATTCACACCAATAAGTGTAGCCGCCACAAAGGGAGGAGTCACCAGGGGCCACCTCTTTGTGCTTATCGGGGTGACCTCTCTCACTTGAGGCTTTTCTTTCCTTCGCCTCTCCAGGGCCCTGTCTCTGAGACGGAATTGTGGAACCCAAGTCTCCCATCAGGGTAGCCCGCACCCATTTGTTCTCTGTCCTCCTGGGAGAATTCAGCATCCCAGGCAAAACCTAACCCCTGGTTTTATCCTGCAGTTGACAACAGTCTATCTTGTTTAGAGGGAAACACTAGATTCTTCTCTCCGTCTGAAGTCATAGCACTTCAATGGTGATGGAAAAACTAAGCAGATGGTCTCCTAAGACCTCAAATAACATATTCATATATACACATATATCCACATGTATGTTTATATTTAAAGCTATTGACTTAAAGCTTCTTTGGAAATCAGAATTCCTTTGGAAACTTTAACTGGACCCAAAATAGATTGGAGGTCATTGCACCTACACAAGCAAAATCTTTAGAAAGTTTGTGGGAAATACGGACTACAAAAAAAGCTATGCAGGAATCTCAAAAATAGTTTGCATAAAAATAAATCTCTTTTTTTTTTAAAGGGAGTTATTTTGTGTGCTAAAAGCAAGTTGATACAGAGAGGGGGACAGAGCAGAACCTATCCATCTTCTTGTTCACTCTCCGAATGGCCTTAACTGTCAGGACTCAGTCACTCCAAAGCCAGGAACCAGGAACTGCATCGGCCTTTTGCTGGGTGGCAGGGGCACAACCAAGTGTGCACATCAGCAGGGAGCTGGATTGAGCAGGGCACTGGTGCCCTGATATGAGTTACTGGCATCCTAGGCAGTGCCACACCCTGCTGTGCCACAGTGCCACCCCAAATACATGACTTTTAATTCCATTTGTCCACCGACATTTTGAAACACCCTCAAGCATTTTCACACCTGTAGTGAATTCATGCAATAAGCACCTGCATGTGTCCCAGTAAGTCATAAAGGAGGAGCTGTCTAGAAGCAGAGCGGGGAGAAACCTTCACCCACTTGAAATTGTAATTCAGGCCAAGAAAACAGTCCCCTGGAAAGATTCCTTTTATGTCCCAATTTAGGATTCAGAACCAACTCGGTGGAGAGAAGTATTTCAGAATTTTCTGTTTAATGCCAGTGGGATACTAAGATTAGATTCCCCATTTAAAGCAACTCACTGCTAAAAATGCCTTAGAACAGAAATGGAAGTGTCGCCCCACACCAGGCCTTTGGAAGTGACCCGGGACTAGATTGCAGCCTCTGGAGCACGGACAGATTTCTTTGTCCTTGAGTGCCCCAGCATCTCTGTGCTTACTACGTGTCTACGGGCTTGCTTGAGCTTTATGATTTCTGCAATATAAACATTTAGATATAGAACACCTTACTCATCTTGGCTTGCTGTTTGCATTTCGCACAAACTCTTCACTAAGTCCATTTTTAAATCAACGTATTACCAAGCCCTAGAAATGGCCGAGGTCAATACATTTTAACCATGACCTTCACAGACACACTAGGAACCAAAAACCCATTTTCCTGTGCCTATCTGAAATGCAAGCTTTATTTCAAGTGAAACTGAGAGGTCTTTAGTCTACACTGGATTTTTATTTTTGTCGTAGCAAATCCCTCCATTTTTTGCAATACCTTAGCGATAGGCAGCGGGCCACTCACCACCATCCTTGCATATTTATTCCTTGCTCAGAGAAACCCAAAACTTCAGGATCTTTCTGGGCTGGGATGTTCTGGTCCTTTATTTGTCTTTGCTGTAAATTGACTCGGGAGCCGTCTCTGATGAGCAGAAGTTGTACACAAGCTGTGCAAAGAGAGCACGGGTAAATTATTGCTTCATTCTGCTCAGTCACCACGGATCAACATTTATTACTCTTGCTCAGAATGACGAAGTTGGTTCATGCCTGGATGCTTGTTAAGCCTACAGTGACTCAAGAACTCTAAACCCTGCCGGCATTGACAGGCACAATGTCTGTAAAATTACTCTGAAAACATTCAATCTTCATGGCTTGGAGATTAAGACACTCTTTCCCAGCGTAGGTATTTTCTGGTACAGCATGTTAAAAATCAACTTGCCTTTGTTCCTCCATTCTCTACCTAAGCCATTAAGGAGACAGATATTAGGATAAATTTTTGGTGCTGTAACACTTATTAAGGGCAAACATGGAATCGTTTACAAAAAAAAAAAAAAAGCATTTGGCATAAGGCTTCTTGTAAATAAGACTTTGAGGAAAACAAGAAGGAAGGAAAAAAAAAATCCCTGCCTGTTCCGATTAGGCTCACAAAGGGCCCACAGTCCTCTGCATTATCTTAAGAAAAACAAAAGCCCCGAAGTGCAGACACAGCCTTCCCATCGGGCAGACACACATTAAAGTACATTAGTACTATCATTTGGGTGTCTGTAAATATCAGTGAAGTATGGGACTCAGCTTCACTTTCACACAAAGGACCAGGACTATCCTTTTCAGGAAATTTCACAGAGACACTCACCAACAAAAGTCTGGTAATTCAATCTTTGGAAAGCTCAATCATGCTAAGTTCAAAATTGCAGGTTCTAAACTAATGTACCCGATAAGCGATGACGGCAGAACTACAGCGACCCATTATTAAGTAATCCAATCGGTGCCGATCCCGGTTATCTGTAACAGAGAGGAGTCTGCCCTAAAACAGCGGTAATGGGCTCACGTCTACCCTAATCTCTCAAGTCCAAAAGAAGCTTTCTTCGTGGGCTTTATCTGTTCCCCCATGTCTGCCTCCACGAGGAGTGATTTCGCTCTCCCGGGGCGCTATGCAAATGACTCCAGGATGCACGGGATGGGTCCTGCAGGTCAGACTTCCACAGCTGCCTAACTTCTGTGTGATAGGACTTAGAGACCCTGAGCCCAAGGGGGTCTCTACTTTCGGCTGACCGTGTGTGTGTGTGTGTGTGTGTGTGTGTGTGTGTGTGCGCACATGGGTGGTGGCAGTCATTCCCCTCAGCACAAATTCGCTCTTGTTGAGTGTTTCGATGCTCTTAAAGAGGGTTTGTTGAATTCCCACCCGCCCTTCCACATTTTTTCCCCCGCTGCCCTGAGTGGCAGACCTTAGTCCCAGCTCAGTACCCAGGGACGAATGCACCAGGAGATAAGGAGAGCAAGGTAAGCCCGGGGCAGGGCGGTGCTCTGTCCTGCCTCCCTGTGATGTTATATGCAGCATGCTTGTAGGTCGAATTGTCTACTGCCCAGTTTTCCGTGCTCTGATTGGGAGACACAGACTTTTCCTTCTTCAACAGCAGTTTTTAAATCAGAATCTAGGCCTCAAGTAGGCCTCTTAGCGGGGATTGGTGGGTGGGAGGAGAGGTAGCTAACTTGGAAAGGGGCTGCCACTTTTCTTGACAATCTTGATGGGTTCTCGCCAGGGCGGACACACGTCTCTGAGTCATTTGACAAACGTGAGTGTGCAGGTTAAACTTAGATCAAGGAGTCTGCTCTCAAGCAAGTTGCAGGTCGCTGCAGGAAGAGTCGCAAAAAACTACTGAGTGAGACACCACTTTCCCAACCCGTCCAGGATAGCGATTGGGGGCCACTAAGGAGGAGGAGGGTCAAAAACGAGACCACGCCTTCGGAAACAGCCACTCCAAGAAGGGGCTCTTGGCACAGCGTTGGCCACTATCTCTGTGATGGGAGTCAGCTCTGCTGCTGAGCCTAGCTTCCTGTCTGCTCCTTTATTTTGTAACAACCCTCCAAAGATGTCACTTTGCTTAAAAATGAGCCTAGCTCCAGGGTGAAAAATAAAATAAAATAAAACAATAAATAGCAGGTTTCCACCAACTCTGAAAGATTTAAGAGTACTCAACTTCCTATTAGCATCAAATGTGGATTACTGATTTTAAAAATAAATTTATTCAATGAAGCCACATCAAGTTCTAGAACTACCCTGGATAAAAATTCCCTCAATTCAAGAATTGGCAGCACTGCCAAGGTCCATGAGCGAGCATCTGGCAGTCCTGCAATTGTACAAAACAATATATGAGCTGTGCTGACCATGTGTTGAATTTATTAGAGTACACCTGGGGAAGTTGGCCTTTTAAGCAAGTCTGAGATTTTTTAGCTTATTATTGTCAACTATTTCTTGCCAAAAGAGAATGTGGGAAAAGAGCCAATTGAACTACAGGAAACGAAAGAACGGAGATTCTGAGCACAGGTAGAAACCAGCGTTTCTGAAGGTTATATCCTAGTGGGGTGCTCAGCACACCTGTGCCACGACATAACTTGGCAGACACAGCATGGCTACACTTCCCGGGGTTACGATGCCAGTGGCTGAGGGTGGAGTTGGGAATTTGTGACAGATTTCCCAGTGAGGTTGCATGGCTGTTCATCTGGAGACCGGATTTCTGGAACCATTGCTTAGGAGTCACAGGAAAGCTGGGTTTGTTCCCCAGTTAATTTGATCAGGCTAAGGTGAGTTTAAATAATTCTGTCTGTAAAATTCCCCTTTGGACCCTCATAAATACTGATCAGATTAATCAAGCATTTCACAGCTTTTTACATTATTGTGAACTCCCTTGATATGCAGTCATCAATGCTTTTCCTTGTGATCACAAACAACGTTGAAGCACCTCAAGCTATCCACCCAGTACCCATGGCGGTGGACCTGAGTTCATGTATATCGATGTTCTTTTCAGCTCTCCGGCCTTGGACAAGTTGCTTAGTAGTTCTAAACCGCATTCCCCTAACCTGTGAAATGGCACTTTTCATCCAAACTGTTACAATCAAAACTGTTGTGCAGATCATAAATTTGAGTCGCCTATTAACTGTTTCTAGCATTGTTGGAGTATAATAGTTCCTACTTATTTCAAAAGAGTTAACCCAGTAAAATCCTAACAACTCTAGAGAAATATAGATAACTCAAAGAACTGTGGGTAAATCAGAGAAAGCCGCAGAATTTTCAATACATACTATGATGGCTGGCATTCCAGAAAATATTGATTAATTAGAACATAAAGGCTGATTTAACTTTCCAACTAGCAGAAGTTTTAAGAAACTCTTCTTTTTTGAACCCTGGCTGAAATTCCTTTTAACTCCTCCGACTTATGAAGTAGTATACATATCCAAATAAACCGGAAGAGGGCCACACATTGCTTCAGAGTCACTATTTACATGACTGACGCAATAGGTTGTGTATATATACATATGTATACTATATATATGCATATATAAATAATTCCCATTGTGTATCAGGTTTTTTGTTGAGTGGTCTTCACTAAGCGCACGTGCACACACACAAACTAGAGCACAAAAAAACAAATCTGGTGAGAAAGTCACTTAGTCAGCTGGAGCCCAGGAGACACTGTGATGAGTTCACTGAGCCTAGGAGGAGCACCCAAGTCAGCCAGGATACACGGGCGACCAGACAGCACAGGCTCGCCCTTGGAAATGGCAGTTGGGTGCAGCTCTTCCTCTAGCTCACGGAACTGGTAGGCATCCAATATTGACCCCCTCCTGATGCACCTCTCCACACTGTAGTTGGGAACCAATGCGCTAAAGGCCAGCCCTGGGTGAGAACATCCATGAGTCACTTTCTCCCTGCTCTTCCCACTGATGCCCGTCAGTGTGGTGATGACCCACGCTTCCCCTGGGATTCCAGCCCTTTCTCTCCTTTTCCCAATTCTTCTGACTAGACAAAGTCCATTCCAACAGATTCTTAGAGAACACACTGTTGAAGTTGGATATAACCATGTTCGTGGTAAAGCTTTTGGAGCCAATCACTGAGGCTGTCATTGTTGCTGGGCAACAGAGTTCACAAGCTTTCTCACTGCTGCCATGTGCAGTCTAAGCAAAGCTTACCTAACTACACATTCAGAGAATGGTTCTAATGATTCCTTCAACTAACTGAAAGTCAACAAGAAAGCCTTACCAAAGATCTGGGTATGAAGCATCTTTATAAAATACTACTTACATTGAGAATAATAGAAAAAATAGACACACGAGGTCTCAATTATAATTATGGGTTTAAAATTTTAATTGTTATGCAATAGTACAAAAAAATAGAACTGGCTCTGACTACCTTGAAAATCTCTCCTAAAAAAAGAGAAATATTTATTTCACAGCCAGAAATGTAGAGAGAGTGACGGACAAAGACAACTAGGCCAGGACCAGGGCCATGGATGGGCAGTGGAAACTCAATGTGTATCTCCCTTGTGAGGGGCAGCAACCCAGATGTATGATTGTTATCCATCATCACTGCCTTCCAGCGTTTGCATCAGCAGAATCGGAGTCAGGAGCCAGGTACTCTGTGGTCACGGCTGACCCAGGTCAAACCCGGGAGCCAGGAGCTTCACCCCGGGTCTCCCAAGTAGATACTGGGGCCCAAGGACCTGGGTCATTTTCTGCTGCTTTCCCGGGTACGTTGGCAGGGAGATGGATGGGAATTGGAGCAGCCAGGACTTGAACTGGTGCCAATATTTGATGCCAACATTGCCAGCAGCAGCTCAGCCCCTTATCACCCAACACCAGCCCTTAACTGTTAGGCTAAACACCTGCCCCCAAACCTTCATTCTCTCTCTCTCTCTCTCTCTCTCTCTCTCTCTCTCTCTCTCTCTCTCTGTGTGTGTGTGTGTGTGTGTGTGAGTGTGTGTGTGTGTGTGTGTGCATTTTGAAACAAATTCTTGGGGTGAGCATTGGTGAAGCAATCAAGTTGCTGTTTGTGATGCCACACCTTCCAGGTTCCACTTGTAACTCCAGCTTCCTGCAAAGGCACACTTTGGGAGGCAGCAAATAATACCTCAAGTACTGGGGTCCCTGCCATGCATATGTGAGACCCAGACTGAGTTTTGCATTACTGACTTTGGCCTGGCCCAGCTCCACTTGTTACAGGCATTAAGGAAGTGAACCAGCAGATGGAATATCTATGTCTGTCTATCTTTGTGCCTTTTTATTTGAAAAAATAACAATCTTATAGTCTTAATTGGACTTCTTAAAATTTTCATCTTACTCCTCATAGAATAATACAAAAATTTAAGAGATATGTATTGAGGTCGGGAGTAGGTACCATGCAGCCTGTGTGAGCTGATGACATGGATACTCATGAAGGGACGTGAATGCTCTGAAATGAAACAGTACACACTCCGTGTCTGACTCAGGGTATGAAGATGTTCAGAGGAGGGGCCATGAGGGTCAGAGTCCCCAGGAAAGGTACCCAGAAGGGCACTGCACTGAGTTCCTGAAGCAGCTGCAGAAAGCCTGGGCCAGCCGGTGGACATGGGCAGAGTGGCTGGAAACAGACACCCACCCATGTATGATCACGACCAATGGGGTATTTACAAATAGTCCAATATTACTGGGGTGGATATTGACACATGCCATGCTCTGGTTAATTATCACTTCCTTGTAGTGGTGAAACCAAATGGAATCTAGGGACTCGAATGCAGACGTGAAAGCTAACCTGAAGCTGGAGTCACTGATTCCAGTAATGCCATCACCGAAGGGAAACACAGCAAAGGAAGCCATGAGCACTTCCTGTCCTTCCTGTGGGTTACACAGGATTTAGTTTGGATCTATGTTGTGGTCATCTCGTGTGTCAGCCGAGTGATCCACGTGCCCCATCCCTCCAGCTACAGCACCGACTCTCCGGGGCTGGAGATGCGGAGACAAACCCAGCCGATGAGGCCTCTGTCTCTACTGTGGACAGACTGAAACTCAGTGAGCCATCAGCAGGAAACGGCAGAGAAGGTCAGGCACCAAGTCATGTCACTTGCTAGAGCAGGGGTCTGCGCATGACCTGTGGCCACCTCCAGCCCGCGGCCTGTGTTCATCCGGCTTCCCCGGGAACTCCAACCCAGTCGAATGTGGTTCACACACACAGGAACAGACCTTTCTTCTGACTGATAGACCTACATTACAAAATATTGCACTCATTTTTTCCCATCTAGCTTCCTTAAGATATGTTTATTTTTATTTGTTGGAAAGGCAGAGAGATGGAGACTTGGGGCACAAAGGGATTCCCCCAGCTACGGGCTCGCTCTCCCAGACTGCCCGCTTGGGTTTCACACACACACGGTTCAATTGTGTAAATTTGTTTTCTCTGCTGCCGTCTAAGAAGCCA